ACTCCAAGTGTAGGATGGAGATGTAGCGCTAAGTGACAAAGTACAAGTGGATGAGTGCATCATCCAACCGTCTTTTAAATACCGTTAGTGTCGGTGCAGAGATGACCGTTTCTGCGAGAACATTCCACGGCTGGCAGATACACATGGAAAAGAAATTTCCGCGGCACTTCAGACAGTCATGTTGTACAGCGAGGTTCATTGAGTGGCCCTTCAGGGTTGCATTGGGGCTGAGTAGCAGTAAAGGGTGATACACATGATGTGGTGCTTGCAGAATCAAGTAGGTCATAATCATGTCGCCTTGTAGTCTGTGATAGTTTCCACTGAATACCCCCAATCGTTACAGCCTCCAATGGTATGAAAGATTGCGCATTCCAATTACCTTCATAGATGCCCGACTTTGTGACTGCGCCAGTGCATTGCGAGCGTTTTTCAACCATGGATACCAGGCTTGAATTGCGTATTCGACATGGCGGCGAACATACGTACTGGATATTTGTCAAAATATGGAGCTGTTTATTTGTCCAAACACCAGTCGAAACAGTCCGACACGTTGGTTCCCAGTCTTGGAGGTCTTTTCGGATTGCCGGGAGCAACCCAAGTGGTCTTGAATCAGGACACCGAAGTCATCTTCGACAGTTGGTGGTTGCAGTATATTCGTTCCGAGCCGGCATGAGTAGATGCTCTGATGTCGGATGGAAAGTACCTGAATTTACTGAAGTTGAAATGTAGTAAATTTTGAGTTGACCATTGATACACCGTACGTACGTCACCCTGAAGTACAGGTTGGTCGGCGTTTGACTGGATCCTGCGCCAGATCTTAATATCGTCGGCCACCAGTAGAAACTTTGAAGCCATTCCCTGCGTAAGGCAATTAATAAACACCAACAAGAAACGGGGACTTGGAACTGAGCCTTGCGGTACACCACAGTCGACTTGTATTTGGTCCGATAAAGAGCTCCGAACGCTGACCACTACTTGCGGTTAAGCTAGAAATTTGCTAATTCAGCCTAAAAGAAGGTCGCTAATCCCGAATTGCTAGAGCTTGGAGAGTAGTATCCGATGGTCTAGACGATTGAAAAGCTTGGAAAAATCCAGATAGATCACAAAAGCGCCTTTTCCGGCGTCAGTTGATTCGGACACATTACTGCATGCGATTAGTAACTTCGTTGTACATGCTCACTGTCGACTGAAACCGTGCTGCTCAGGCGTGATGAAGTTGCAGTTTTCCAGATAGCACTCCACAGCATCCGCAACCATTGCTTCCATGACTTTGGAGAGTATGGGAAGAAGGCATACTGGGCGGTAGTTGGAGGGATCAGTTTACTTTCACCTTCGTTAACCGGGGGTTATTATTCCAAGCTTCCACATGGCGGGAACGCAATTCTGCTCTAAGCAGCGCTGGAAAAACTGAGCTAGAATACCTGTCAATTGCTTTGCTGCTGCTTCCAGTGCCTCTAAACGAATGGTGTCAACACTCGGCGACCTGTGTTTGGGCGGAGATGTCAGCTTTTGTAATATAGCCTCCACGGTAAAAGTGACGCCTGCTCGTTCTAGCGAGGAGGCGACAAAGGTTGGGAGATCACTTGGTGGCAAAACCCTGTGAAACGTAGAGACAAATTACATCCGCAGCACGTTTGCTGCTTCCACAGTCGTCCTTGTTAGGCCGTCAGCCGTCCTGAGTGAAGGAAATCGCTGACACATCTTCGTCGACTATTGCCGTGCTTGTACAGCTGTTTGTGGTTAGCGCTGAAGATGTTTGTAATTTTCTGCTGATACGAGGCTTGAGTTCTCTTAGCAGTTGAGTGCAGTGGTTACGTTGGGCTACGTAGTTGTCCCACGTTTCTGGTGCTGGAGCTTCTCTGTACACTCGCCATGCTGCGTTGCGTGCTGTCATCCATTTTCGAGTTCTGCTTCTAACGAAAAAGATTGTCGTAACCTTATTGAAAACTCTTAGTTCTGAAACTTTTGAAAGCATCTGACTGCATTTGTTGACGAACTAGAGCCAGGCGACTTCCGGGGGTTCTTCGGCAAGGAATAACCAAGTAGTAGCCCAAACGAGCTGAGCTAATCGATCGTAGCTTGGGATAGTTCGCACACTATTATCCTCCTCATTCAGATATTCTGCATAGCAGACGAAGTTGAAACTGATGACTGTGTGATCACTGCGACCCAACCAGCAGCTTAAAATCAATACATCAGTCATATGCTCCTCGTTGGTAAGCACAAGATCCAGCACGGATAGCCTGTTACCTGTTCAGAACCGAGTGGGCTAAGTAGTGTGAAGCGGAACAGTGGGTTGGGAGCGCCTGTTGACAGGCTTTGAATTGTTCTCTGACCCTGGAAGGAGTTTCTAAAGAATGTGGGTGGAAATCTTCCATGATAAGTATATGAGTGTATTTTCGCTGTAAACTGCATCTTAAACCAGCCGCTAGGTGGCAGTCGGTTTCGGGGGTAGAGTTAGGGGGGCAGTACTCGAAGACAATATGGCAAGTGTCTTCCCCTTTTAACTGCAAGCGGCATCAGAGAGAGTCGGGGAACTGCGAGTTTGAATCCGCTACGGGTTCGCACTGTAAGTCGCTTCCGCAACACAGGATTACCTGTCCACCTTTCGTAGGCCTATCGTTCCGGATTAGTGACATGACCGGTAGCGAAACTTAAGCGTCCGTAATTCTCGTGTGCAATCACGTCTCGATGATACCAATGACATCATATAACCCGAAAGCTTGGCGATCTTTCAGTTTAGCCAGTTTATTAAAAGGACCCTGTGCGTTCGTATACAAGTAGGTCAGTTTCTCGGCCTCTAGGAGCCGACAGAGGGGTGAAGGGATCAAGTGTGTGCGAGTGTAGACCGATGGGACGTCAATAGTTACTTTTTGTTGGGATAATGATACCTCCTCTGAAAGTTGCTTTGGCCAAGGTGCATCCCACTCTTCGTGTAGATCTACGTCAGATTGAATTAAAGCAGCAGTTAAGTTACGCTCCTGTACATTCGTCGGTCCGCTTGCTGCTTCGGGTGCTTTGATATTCGAACTGTGTAAAGCTTCTGAGACCTCTAACCGAAGTTCAGAAGGAAGATGTCTCCGATTTCCCCGCCATCAATCCAATACAGCCTTTGCTTTTTGCTCTGACTAAACCATACGTTTTAGGATTCTAGGACCGTATCCTCTATAACCTGGTGAGAGAGGTATCCTGGTGAGTGATAGCGCCACAATATTATCCAAAGAAAGTGTATCACGTATGAACCACCACCGTTCTAAATCGTGCTTTCCGGTCTCTTTACCATTGTTGGAAGGATGTTCTGGCACGCCATGTATGAAGATTATGTTTAGGCGGTCCTGTTTGCTGTTTCCCTTTTCGGTGGTTCTTATTTATTGTCGCGCGCCACAAAAGACATCAGGATAGGTGCAGATCCCACATGATCCGTGTTTTAGCGCGCTTGCGGACAGCAAACGTTTTCTACGTCGATGGAGGATTCTAGTGTTACTCGAATATATCTGGGTTCTCCATAGGGTGGCAAGTTCGGATGATGAGTGATTTGTAATAAGTTTATGGATTTGGTTTTGAGACTCATCAGCGTGCACAATGAGTTCCACTGGTCTTGGTCGTCCGATAGCTTATCCCACAATGTGATGATGATAAATTAAGGGACATTTGAGCATACGACAGTTCGGACACTATTGTCAGATCTCTTTTTCGTCGATCCACAAGGTAGGGTACTCTTTTGTCCTAACCTGCTGACAAGTGTTCATTGTTTGTTCTTTATCCCTCTATTCGCGTTAACAGTGTTTACAACAGAAGGGGCCGCAACGGCGGCCTCCCGGGGAACCTTTGCAGCAATCTCTGCGTATGTAACTGATGTTCTGGGGTGAGGCTTTGTAGCAACAAGAGACATTTGAGCTACAGGTACCGAGCATTGGTGTTCGGCTGCTTCATTCTTGTAGAAGTTGCTTAACCAGACGTTTCGAGTGATGGCTGATTTTCCTTGCCATGAGTACTGTTTGACTCTCGTAGGTAAGGTCAGTTTTCGCCCGGCGTTCTACCAAACTTGGAGAAGACAACGGAGATGGGTACGTGGCTGATTGCGGTTCAGGGGAAGCGGATTACGCACCATTCCGATGTTTAGAAGCCGTTACGCTTCCGTGGTGGATACTCGCTTCCATTTAAGTAATCTTATCGTTTATCCTCTGCTTCGCTTCGGTGGATAAACGGTCGCACTTCTGAACTAGGTTAAGGAAGCACTTAACGAGTGTGATGGTGGAGCACGCAGTACAGAACCGGAGCATCTTGGGAGCTATTTCGCTCTCATAACTGTACTTGGGACACATTTGCACAATTCGAATGCTCCAGTCCAAACAGTGCGAGCAAGCCAGACCTAAATGTTGGGCATGATTTTGTGTTACACAACTTTCGAGAAATATAGAGTAGATCAAACGCCAGGTACACAACGTGGCATTAGTAATAGCTTGTCCAAAGCTCCTAAATTATTAACTACTATAAGTAGTCCAAAGTATAGAATTATACAGCAGGACTGTCCACCCTGGATGCGCATCGCTGGATTCAGGCTTGCATGAAGTTGACACAATCCGGATGGCGCATTTCACCTTCCTTCCATTGATCCAACTCACTTATCCGAATTTGAACACTGTTTCATTCATGTTGTTGAAGCGATAAAGTTGCAAATTTCTACGGGTGTGTGATCGACTGTTAGGCACTAGCAAAGCAGTGAACTACCGATTCGGTTCAACTGGTTAACTACGCTGTGGGCTTTGAAGTGATAATGCCTGAATATTATGATCTGTGAGGTAATTAGTAAGACGTGACAGTAGTTGCAAAATAGGAGTCGAAATAAGTAGTACGGACAGACACATGAATTCAGGAGAAGAAATAGACTGGGGCTAACCTGTTCAATGGAAGGGTTTAGAGGTGGAGCTACCTATTTGCTGTGGAAATTCCTCATGTATGAGGTCCGTGACGTTTAGAAGAGTTATATTAAAACTTCCATGATCAATACCCTGAGTCTGCTCCGTGAGAAAGGTGCGAAGCAAACCTATCAATTCTCTCGATCAGGTTCTCTCCGGATTTTCGTCACACCACTGGTTGCACGTCGTGTGTGTACACCTAAATAAATCCAATGATGGCATGTGTTATACCCAACACCAAGTAGTCGAAAGGTGTCCGAAGCTGGCACATTGACTTGTGAGCATGATTGAAGTTTGACAGACAACCCAGGGGGTTTGTAACCAGACGTCACCTGAAAGACCATGCATTATCCATTCGATGACAAAAGACCAACCTCAAAACTGGGTGGTTTCGTTGTTACTTTCCACTATCCCTGCACTCTACGACCGACCGGTTTCCTCCTGTTTTGGACTGCTCAGGTAGAGACAGCCTGAGCTGGAAGTGGAACATGGCACAGTGCTTGGCGGCTATCGCCAGGATCACTAGGTCATTGCGCTCTGCGATAAGCACATGCTACTGTGGCTAGGAGTTGATTTTGGACATTGGAACATTCACCGTGTGCATCAGATGGTGACACACATTCGCAAGTGTAGCATCGGTGGAATATGAACTCCGTCCAGTTGCTCATTTGTTCGCCGAGCTGCGAAATTGGTTTGCAAACGTTTCACCGTCATGCGAGACGGCATCATCAGTGCGTCGAGATGTGGAGTGTAATTTCGCTGATTGAATTGTCGACCCGTGATCGGCGTGCAGGTGACATTTCGAAAGTGACGGCTTCGATCTGTGTCCCGTGATCTCTACCCATTTCCCCGTGGCGGAGGTCGTCGCTTGGGTTGTTCCTATTCAAGCGGCGTCTCATAATTTCTCTAAGTTCTCTCCGTCGGAGGGGTTGGTAAACTGGGTCAATCTCGATATGCATGTTGATCGAGTCTTGTGTTGAGAATCATGCTTCCAGGAATTCCCTTGCTCTTCTTGTTTCACCTCGTGCCAGGACTTCTGTTTTGGCCCAATCAAAGCTGTGTTCTTTTTCATCCACGTGTGCTGAGACTAGCGAAGATGCATAGTGCCTTTTGCATGCTCTTTTGTGCTCTTGTAATCGTGTTGTTAATTTTCTGCCTGTTTGGCCAACATAGTCCTTTTCGCAATTTCTACAAAGTAGTCTATATACAACATTGCTTTGCCCATGAGCTTCCAGTTTCTCTTTCGGTTTCGACAGAGTTTTTCTCATTGTAGCAGTTGGTTTGTGTGCTACGATGAAGTGATGTTGTTTGAATAGTCTTGCTGCCATTTCGGATATATTCTTCATATAAGGTAAAACAACGCGTCTCTCCGTCGTTGGTGTAGACTGTCTGTTTGGTTTGTTGTGGTTCAGACACCTTCGGATGAAGCTTCGTGAATATCCGTTGAGTTGGAAACATTTAAATAGATGCTTCTCTTCTTGTTGCTTTGCCTCCGTGGTACTGCAGTGCGTCTGCACTCTACCAAATAGTGTCCGCACACAGCTTACTTTGTGGCATTTCGGATGGTTACTGTTAAAATTTAGTCTGACGAAACGATCATCATCCTGCCGGCAGACAAATGATGGATGACGGTTATAATGGATAAAGAGGATGACACTGAGAAAGCTTTACGTCTCTTGAACGACACAACGAGGTACAAGTGCATTGACACCGATCCAACCTCATAGCTGGCAAACAAATTAAACAAAGCGTTGAACCAACTTCAAGAAAAGTATCAAATCACGAAGGAGGAGAGCGAACGAATGAGAGCCCGTGACTCGAGCATCGTGCAATTCTATGGACTCCCAAAGGTACACAAAGATGATGCACCATTACGACCGATCGTGTCACTACCAGGAACACCCACCTACAACTTGGCGAAAGAAATGTGGAGACGCCTCAAACATCTGACCAGTGGATCGCAATATTCCATTAATAATGCCCAGCAATTTCTACAAAAGCTCAAAAACCTGCGAATAGATGATGATGAAACAATGATATCTTTCGACGTGACTGCCCTCTTTACGTCTGTAAACTTACAAATGTCAACAGCAGTCATCACAGAACGCCTGAACAGCAGTGAACAACCAATCGGGAATCTAACAACCGAAAACGTATGCAAACTACTGCAGTTGTGTCTGTCAACCTACTTCTCTTTCAACGGGAAGATCTACGAGCAATTGAAAGGCACACCATTGGGATCACCTATATCGGGACTCATCGCGGAGATGGTAATGCAGAAATTGGACGGAGATGTACTCCCACTCATTAATCCCAAACTGTGGATCCGATATGTTGACGACACTTTTGTGATCATCAAACGCAATCAAGTTGCAGTATCACAGCAGCAATTGAACAACGCCATTGAAGACATCCGGTTTACAATGGAAATGGAGAAGGAAAACCAACTGCCTTTCCTGGATGTCTTGGTAACCAGAACCATGGAAGGGAGGCTGCAAACATCAGTATACAGAAAATGGACACATACGGACCAAATTCTGAATTTTAACAGTAACCATCCGAAATGCCACAAAGTAAGCTGTGTGCGGACACTATTTGGTAGAGTGCAAACACACTGCAGTACCACGGAGGCAAAGCAACAAGAAGAGAAGCATCTATTTAAATGTTTCCAACTCAACGGATATTCACGAAGCTTCATCCGAAGGTGTCTGAACCACAACAAACCAAACAGACAGTCTACACCAACGACGGAGAGACGCGTTGTTTTACCTTATATGAAGAATATATCCGAAATGGCAGCAAGACTATTCAAACAACATCACTTCATCGTAGCACACAAACCAACTGCTACACTGAGAAAAACTCTGTCGAAACCGAAAGAGAAACTGGAAGCTCATGAGCAAAGCAATGTTGTATATAGACTACTTTGTAGAAATTGCGAAAAGGACTATGTTGGCCAAACAGGCAGAAAATTAACAACAAGATTACAAGAGCACAAAAGAGCATGCAAAAGACACTATGCATCTTCGCTAGTCTCAGCACACGTGGATGAAAAAGAACACAGCTTCGACTGGGCCAACACAGAAGTCCTGGCATTTGGTGAAACAAGAAGAGCAAGGGAATTCCTGGAAGCGTGGTTCTCAACAAAAGACTCGATCAACATGCATTTCGAGATTGACCCAGTTTACCAACCCCTCCGACGGAGAGAACTTAGAGAAATTATGAGACGCCGCTTAAAAAAGGATATGTGTGGGGGGGGGGGATAAATATAAAGGGGGGGGGGGGGGGGGGGGGGGGGGGGGGGGGGGGGGGGGGGGGGGGGGGGGGGGGGGGGGGGGGGGGGGGGGGGGGGGGGGGGGGGGGGGGGGGGGGGGGGGGGGGGGGGGGGGGGGGGGGGGGGGGGGGGGGGGGGGGGGGGGGGGGGGGGGGGGGGGGGGGGGGGGGGGGGGGGGGGGGGGGGGGGGGGGGGGGGGGGGGGGGGGGGGGGGGGGGGGGGGGGGGGGGGGGGGGGGGGGGGGGGGGGGGGGGGGGGGGGGGGGGGGGGGGGGGGGGGGGGGGGGGGGGGGGGGGGGGGGGGGGGGGGGGGGGGGGGGGGGGGGGGGGGGGGGGGGGGGGGGGGGGGGGGGGGGGGGGGGGGGGGGGGGGGGGGGGGGGGGGGGGGGGGGGGGGGGGGGGGGGGGGGGGGGGGGGGGGGGGGGGGGGGGGGGGGGGGGGGGGGGGGGGGGGGGGGGGGGGGGGGGGGGGGGGGGGGGGGGGGGGGGGGGGGGGGGGGGGGCTGGGGGGGTTGGTGGGGTAGGGTTGTGGTGGGGAGCGCGGGTGTGGGTTGGTGTTGGGGAGTGTTGGGTGGGGTTGGGGTGTAGGGTGGGGCTGTGTTGGGGGGGGTGGGTGTGGGAGGGGTGTGTGGATGGTGTGCTCTGAGTGGTGGTTGGTGTTGGGTAGCGGGGCGGGGTTGGGTTGTGTATGGGGGGATGGGTTGGAGTGGGGGGAGTGGAGTGGTGTGGGTAGTTGGGGGGGGGGGGTGGGGTGGGTGGGGGGTGGGGGTTGGTGGGGGGGGGTGGGGGGTGTAGGGGGTGGGTGGGGGGTGGGTATGGGGTGGGGGTGGGTGGGAGGAGATTGGGTGGTGGAGGAGGGTGGTAGTTGTGTGGGAGGTGGGGGGCGGGTTAGGGTGATGGGGGTGGGTGTGGTAGTGGGGGGGTATGATAATATGGTGTGGGAGTATTGGACAGATTAGATTTATAACGAAGGGTATGCGAGGGGGGGGGGATGTTGGGGGAGTGGAGGGTCAAGGGTGATTAGGTCGGCGATAAACGGCGGTCGTCCGATATCGTGGGGGACATCGTCGGCGTCTTACTATGTAGCGGACAAGCTCACTGAGACGATATCACCTCGTCGAACCGTTTGCAAAGAAATTGCGCAGCTCGGAGAACCAGTAACAACTTATTTGCAGAAGGTTGTTTAGTCGCATGGATCCCAGTGAGAGGCTGCTCGTGATCGATACCATTCCAGACATTCCTCACTACTTCTCCTCATTTTGTTACTATGATATATGCTTTAATTTACCGTTCTGCTGTTGCTGTTCGAAGGCCATTACATTCAATTTACCTGGTACTTCTCACCCCTAGTCTATGCGGTCGTTCTTGCGGAGTTTATTCCCACTTAGCAGATGGTGATTCGTCATTTTCTTCAGGTAAATAATTCCTCTGTCTAGTCTTACCTGGTGCTCACCGACTTGTTCGATATTTTGGACTTAACCCAGCTATATTGCAGATAGCATCTAACAGCGCCGTCAAGACAAACTCATCAGTAGACATGAAGCACCTGTATTTGTGTGTGCGACCAGCTGCGGCTAGTTGTGTTTTCAGCCAAATGTCTAACAAATTCACACAATCTTCCGGAGTAGTTATGCCGAAATTCAAGGGTGGAAATCGTCAGGATTACGTGAACCATCGGCTGATTTGCTTGACATCGGTCGATTGTAAGATCATGAAAAAGCTCATTAAATGTGCCATCCATCGACACTGCGAAGATCTGAACCTCACTTCGTCTACTCAACATGGCTTCGTAAGGGGACTGCTTGCAACACTAACCTGCTTGTCGCAAGAAAGAAGTGGGCAAATTCAGTGGACGCTGAAAAAGCCATAAAGGTGGCATTCATCGACTTCAGCGAAGCTTTTGACAGAGTCCCTTATCAGCAACTACCCACTAGGCCCTGCGGAATTGGCATAACAGGGAACATCCTACAATGGATCAGTGACTTCATGCAAGCCCGGAGCATGCATGTCAGGGCAAATGACACTCTCGCAATTCCAGTGCCTATGTCCAGTGGTGTTCTGCAGAGCTCCGAACTTGGACCGGATCTGTTTAAGATCTACATTAATGAGCTACCAACTGTGCTACAAACGGACTGTCTGATCTATGCAGACGACTTCAAGCAATACTCGGAAGTGTCCAGCTTCGAAGGCGCAGAGCGATAACAGGAAACGCACGTCTGGCTTGTCAAGTGGGGCTTACCGGTCAACAAAGATAAGTTCTCTGTCCTTCCCATCGGTGTTGCGGAACCACTGGACAGTTATCACACTGGCGGCGTTTTGCTCTATACAGTCACACAGGAAAAGGACTTGGGGACAAAAGTATCCTCTGACTGGCACTCATAAAAGCCATTTTCGTGAAGAGCAAGCCGGGTTTCGTCGAGGTCGTGGCTGCATTGACCACATCTTCACTTTGCGTCAGTCATTGGAGCACCGTCAAGTATATTTGTGGCCCACCGCTGTCGTATTCGTCGATTTCAAACGTGCATTCGACGCCATGGATAGGTGTGCTCAGAAAAGGTGTACCTGAGAAATATGTAAATATTATTCGCGAATTCTACGCGCGTATCTCGGGCAGAGTGGGGGTTTAAGGCAAGCTGTCGTAGCCATGTAATATCTCCAGCGGTGTAAGACAAGGTTGCGCGCTGACCATTTGCTCTTCAAATTCGCTATTGATGAAATCATGGAAATCGCGTTTACGGGACAAGACTTAGAAGGTGTGCATCTGATCCTAGCTGAACGACTCCTTGACTTGGAGTTTGCTGACGATATTGCCCTAATCTGTGACAGCCCACAAACGTGCCAAGCGGCACTGGATAGATTAGCACTGGCTATCCGTCACTTCTGTGTGAAACTGATCCGCAAAGACAAGGTCACTCATCAGCAGGAGTTAATGAAGCGATTCTGCATGAAACGTAAGCTTCTGTACAGGCACGTTAACGGTCTTCGGAAGGTGAAGCGGGGTTTCCAGCGCTAGTCACGGCTGATGGATGCACGCGATCAACAATGGAAGCAGCTGATCTCCTACGGCTTCATTACTCCCAAACTTTCCAGGAGGTAACGAGCACCAACATTCTCCTCATTTCTAATACTCCACCATCTGGTTTAGACAACATCACCTTCACTGCGGTGGCTGTGTTGGAAAAGTTGTTATCCTTGCGTATCCACAGTTCTCCTGGAGTCGAAAACATCTGACCAAAGGCTCTGCAGGCGGTAGCTAGTGATCTAGCAGAATCACTGACTGTTTTCTATCAGAGATATCTAGAAGAGAACCGCATTCCATTAGTATGGAAGCGACGGGCCATAACTCCTATCCATAAGGAGTTAGCCGTACTGATCCTGTTAACCACCGTCCAATAACACTACTTCCCGTACTATCCAAAGTGATGGAATCAATAGTCGCCGATGCGCTGATGCATTATCTGGAAAGTCACAACTTAATAGCCCCAGAGTAACATGGGTTTCGTCAAAAGCATTCGTGTAATGGTTGGCGGCATCCGGTTTCGGATTTGCCTGTCACTGTGGCAAGCCACAGGACGCCTGCGCCTACAAAGGGACCATGGGTGGCTTGCGCTGCACCACCCACAGCTCCAACCACACACCCCATATCCAGTGTAAACCCGAAGGAATAAGACCGGGAGGCATGCGGATGGGAGCCACGTTTCATCAACGGAGCCGGCCCACACTCCTTCACAGGCAAACACAAGCACGCTGTAGTTGGGGAATCAAGCGCACACAAGGCGGGGGCTGGACCGTAGTCCGCTCCACACTGAGTACATGAGTGTTATGGAAATAGAATACAATTGGCTGAAGCGATGTGTGCAAGTTAATGGAATAGAGTGCAGGGAGATATTTATATGAGAAAGAAAAGCATTAAGGTAAAAACTGTAAACCCACCACCTGAAATAAAGAGACTTAGCATGCAAGCACGCGGTTTGTAAATCGAATTCAGCGTGCCTACAAACGCTGCGCCGGCTCATCGTAATTCTCTGCAGGACCCATCGTCGCTTCTGTAGTGGCCCCAAATGACACAGCGCATGGCATGGCCCACTAGACATTTATATGAGAAAGAAAGGAATTAAGAGAGAACCGAAAACCCACCACCTGAAATAAAGAGACTTGGCATGCAAGCATGCGGTTAGTAAATCGAATTCAGCGTGCCTACAAACGCTGCGCCTGTGCTGCCTAAGTTCACTGCGGGACCCGTCGTCGCTTCGGCAGTGGTCCCGAGTGACCTCTCTCATGGCTCACAAGGCCTGCCTGACTAAGGCACTCGCGACCGCATGTTCTACAGCACAATGCGCTCGATGTCGATGGAGTACAATTCATCGGTGCTTGCCGCTTCCGCAACTGCCGCTTCTTCTCTGCATGCATGAGGGATTTCTCCCGCACTTCAGCAACTGCCTTCGTGATTAGATCGCGCCATGCACGCCGATCAACCGCCTACGATTCCCATGATCTGCAATCAAGATTAGAACGTGTGAGGCTCACTTTAATCATGTCCTGGTAACGTAACTTTGGTTTCCCCACGTGCCGCTTCCCTATACTCAGGTGACCGTATAAAAGTTGTTTCGGTATCCGCGTCGAATCCATACGGCTCACATGACCGAGCCATCTCAGGTGTCTCAGTAAAAGTATGCAGTCCACTGCATACATACCACTTCGGCGCAACACTTCCGTGTCTGCAACTCTGGCGCCCCTGCAGATCCGCAAAATTCGTCGCAGTCACTGCTGATGGAACCGCTCGAGATATCGCACATCCAACCGGTACATCGTCCACGTGTCACTGCCGTATAGAAGAACGGACAGCACCATGGATTTGTACACCATCAGCTTCGTGCCAATGCTAAGCTGATGGTTGTTCCACAATCGGTACTCTAGCTTCCCGAATGCCGCTGCCGCCTTCGACACGCGAATACGCAACTCAACGTGTAGCTGCTGATCAGTCGACATCACACTCCCAAGGTAGCAGAAGCGGGAGGTGGTTTCCAATACTTCAGCACCAATGCTGATTCGCGGCATAATTGAAGATTGCACCTCCGGTGAAGGCTGAAAGAGACAGACAGTTTTGCTTGTGTTGATGGTGAGCCCGAATTTGGCCGCTGTCGAAGCCAGAGCACTAGTCATGTGCTGCAACTCATCCGCGTTGTGTGAAAACAACGCACAGTCGTCAGCAAACAGCAACATACGGATAGTTGTCTCACGGACTAGAGTTCTCGCACCGAAACGACGGATGTTCAGCAACCCACCATCAATACGGTGCTCCACACGAACACCGTAAGCACAAGCCGCATCAAAAACACAAGACAACATTGCATGAAGATAGATATTAAACAGGGCAGGAGCTAAGACACAGCCTTGCTTCACACTAGAGACAACTGTAAACTCATCAGAGGTCTCTCCACTCAGCTGCACCCTCGCTCGCATACCACTGTGCAGACATTCAATTAAACTTACAAACTTACGCGGGCAACCAAACTTACCCAACACCAGCCACAGTGCCTCGCGGTTCACCGTATCAAATGCCTTGGTGAAATCAACAAAAAGCGAGCACAAAGGCTGGTGTCGTTCTCTGCACTTCTCTTGCAACTGACGAGCCGCAAACACCATAGCTATAGTGCTGCGACCCGAACGGAATCCACATTGCTCTTCCGCCACGTTAGGTTCCACAGCATGACTGACGAGACAGTTGAGCAGGATTCGGGCAACCACCTTGCCCACACAACTCAGCTAGTTGATGCCACGATAATTCGTGCAACATTACTTGCTACCTTTGCCATTGTACCGTGATAGCACAAGGACATGCTTCAGCTCAGGAGGCACCTCCTCCTCAATCCACACGCGTTGCACCAAGTGGTGCATCGCAGTCACCAACGCGGGTACGCCGTGTTTCAATACTTTAGGCGGGACTTCGGTCGGCCCC